CTGTACCGACGCAAACGGCGCAAGCTCTTCGCGCAGCGCGGCGCTGTTCAACATCTTGGGCACGTGCAAAAGCAGACGTGTCCGAGTGGTCCATCAGTGCTAAGCGCCTAACGAACGTCAACTGAGATTCACTTCCTACTGTTGTGACGTCGTCGTGACGTCACGGGTGGCAGCGCTACCGGTGCCAACGGCAAAGCGTCTCCGCGCAGTGAAGGAGGCGGGAGCCGGTTGTGGATGCCTATTTCTTCGACGCAGGATGCTTTTTTTTCTTGTTGGTGCAGACAATCAACACGTTGCGAAATAACGACACGGACACAATTCAGGCAAATGCTGCTTCAGCACTGCCCAGTGAGGATAAGAGTATGAATATGAGTATGTGCAATGGTGAATCAATGAGTTTGAACTGGCTCCATTCTTCCCACAATGTACCAAGTTACTAGCTTCGCCTCCGCTTTAGCGATACAAGGGTAGCGCCAAAGCAGAGACAGATACATTTGAAGGCGTTACATGTTATTTGAACAACGAAAGATGGGACATAGATCCCACAAAACTTGTCAGGCGCAGACAACTGCATCCCCATCATGTACTGGTGATGGTGGGGAGAGCGGGGAGCAGGGCAACGACCTAGACCTGGGCCACCGCATAATGCGCGAGGCCATCATTACAGCAATATGAAGTGTTCAGCACCCTTCAAATATCTTTTCGTATTTTCCTGTGTCCTAAAATTATAGTTCGCATCGAGCTTCATGTCGGTTAAGTCAAAATGATGTCATTCGCCTGGACTATTGTTGTCATTCCTTTCTCTTTTAAGTTGTGATTTCTTCGTCAATGTCTGGCTTGCAGCATTTCGTGCAATGTCGTTAAATACTGTTCTTGCACTGGTTCCTTACCAGTCGAATATGGCTTTGGAGTAAACATGTTTAATTATTCAGGAGCACACTTGTTGACAATTTAATCGTTGCTGACAGGTGACAAGTTTAAGTAGTTGGAAAGTTACGTAAGTTGTTAAGTACATTTGCGAGGAACATTATGCACGTAGATAAGACAGCAGTAAAAGCCTTATTCCTCGAAGAAAAACCAGAAGAATGGAGATAGAGCTGCGCTGATATTTCGGTAACATGCCTTTATCGAAACAAATAACAGAAGTGAACTCAAAATTGTGTGCCGATGATCCCACGTCGACGCATTTTTTTTTTTGAAGCAGCGAAACAGTTTTTAAATTACACCAACATTCAGGATTTAAACAAGAATCAATTGCCAGTCATTACTACGATACAAGGCATATATAACTAAGAACTAGAATGCGCGAAAAATATGTGTACACGAATTCAAATAAACGGGCCTCAAGCATCACATCTCATTCATACATGCAAGCGAGTTCAAGATATAAGGCGGGGCGCATCACGCATCAATTGCGCATACAAACGATTTCAATTAAACAGGCATCGTGCATTGCGCGTCAGTCATCATGTACACATATAGGGATTTTAAGCTAGCACACGCCACACATCAAAGCACATATCGCGTTCGCATCATCGGCCACCATTAGCACCATGTGTCAAGGTTTGTTCACTAACCTTTAATAAAGATATAGATTCACTTATTTTCCTGCTTGTGTGGACTCTGTCCTCTGTAGATGACCTTGAGCTTTAAGAGGGCATTGAGTTCATACCTCGCTGGATTTCAGCCTGAGCGTGTTTTGCCAAAGAAATGGTCACCGAGAGGGTTTTCCCCTGTTTTGTTTTTAGCGTATCGCAGGTGTTCATTATGTCTCATAAGGATAGGGCGCATGAATACTTCGACATAGACCATGCAGTTCATTTAGTGCAGTTAATTTCGAAAACCACGTTTCTTGCACGCAGATCTTTGAAGCCCAGACTTTCACAAACGAATTTATTGCCAGCCTGGCACTTTATGTTTGGAAAGAGAAGATTTCAATTTCGCAACTATCGACAGGACAAAAATCAGGCAGAGGAATGCTTACCCTCATCCTTGCGACTTTTATATCCAGTCTTCCTACAGGAGTTGGTAAATGGTGGCTTAACCCGACTTACGAATTTTCATACATTTCTTACGACAACAAAAAATACCGCTTTGAGCTGTCCGGTGCGGAAATATCGTTTATCGTTGCGGATCGAAGAGCTTATTTATGTCCCGGTAATTTCCCATATTCTGGAACTTTACAGAAGCTGTGGAAATGTTTGTTTTTTATGAGTGCTTTGTGTTTTCTTCGGAACACACACCAGCCGAATTTTTAACAGCCACGCTATGGATTCCTTAAAACTCAAAATCATGCACAGAACAGAGGACCACCCCGATAGCAAAAACACTGAACAAGGTGTTCTAATAACTCGACGACCTAACCTGAGCGTGCAGGGATGATCGTAGCCGATCACGCGATCGTGATTGGTGAGGTGATGCGTGATGTGTACTGACTTGAAACTGTGACTTGAAACTGTGTTTGCACCTGCAAAAACTGTGCAATTATGTGACATTGTGTAAGCGTTATTTTCATCCTTTTAATTCGTAGCTGGAGCCGCCGTGCCGTACAGCTATCGTTTAAAGTGATGGCTGCAGTTGGTTATTTGTATAATCTCGGAAAAATGATCTGCAAAAAATCCCTCGCTGAACTAGGGTCATTCTATGCCCACTCAACCAACCAAGGGTCCCTTTGACAGTCAACCAACTGGGGCTTCGACGCAATTTTGGTTTTACTTATTTAATTACGCACTTAACATACTTCCATTTCAGTTAAGCTTTTACTCGAAAACGTGTAGTGAAACGTGTTGAGGACCATTCGCGTGCGGCCCCAGTACAAAGACCACGCGATAGTGAGAGTGTAATGAAAGCAATATCCCAATATCGCAAGGAAGAGCTTTTCGTAAAATATCCCAAAGCGAAGAGCATTGCCACAGCCGTGAAGGCTTGCGTGAGTCCGCTCAACAAGGAGCACCAAAAGGAAAAAAGCCATGTTACCGATGAGCACCAACTGTATCCATCCAGAAACACAACCTGCGCGGCCCTCCAAATGTTGAGGAAGCCCTATGCACGTCTTGCAGAAAACGGCTACCAGGGAATTTCCTCAGTCTGAGCAGTCCACCATGTTGGCGCCAGATAACAGCCAGCTGTGAACAGCTCGTCACAAACAGCGCACACAAGGCCAAAGGTGAGCAGCAGAAGTGCCGCCGACGTCCGATGCTCGCCACCAGCACCTCCAGGACCTCCACCATGCATGGGGTCAGAGGTGGCCTCATTCGGGCAAAACCCGGAGACGGCGAAAGCAGCGGAGCAGCGCGCTGGCATGGCCGTGCGGTCTCCCGCGGCGCTGGCGCGGCGCGGCCGCGGCCTGCTGCGACCTGGCCCGGCAGGTCAGGCCGCCGGTCGCGCGTTGTCGGATCGCTAATCAGCGCGTCGGACACGCGTGACGTCACGTGGGTGACTTTGCCCGTCGCGCTTGTCTTAGGCCACATCCGCCCTTTTGCCCTATCTCCCGCTTTGTCTCGGTTCCTCGCGACGCCCCGCTCGTCCGAGGCAGCCCGCATGAGGCAGCAAAGAATGGGCCAAACAGCCCCCTCGTGGGGCCCCGTCTCAGCACCAAGCACACACCACAAGGAGACCCTGTGCAGGCTTGGTCTCGGCGGAAATGTCTCCGGCTGCACGTAGGCCTGCTTCACCGTTACCTTCTCTTCTTCATCCAGCGGCCCTGAAATGGTCATTACTGGCCGAAAGGGCTCTCATCCGGACCCAGACCGGCCCGGACGCGGACTGTCGGTCTAGGACGCGCTCGGGCAGCGTGCCGAGCATTCTGTTATCGCCCGAGGCATGAAGAGTACCCGTTGAAGTGACGGTGGTGTTGCAAGGCCGGCCGGAGATGAGCAGCAGGCGGGACCTAACACAGCAATAGCGAAGCTAGGAGAGACGGCGGTGAATAAACGAATGTCAGTCATTTTGTGTGGAAAGCCGACCGTATTAAGTACGTGGTTTTATCATTTAATACCAGTGGAGATCAAACTTAAACAACTTGTCACACATCGAGGTTTGGGGTGTGTGTGATGCGAAGTGAAATCAAAATCTGATAAAATAAATATGAGATCACAGAGGCCTGATGAGTTGAGAAATCTTCAACAAAATCCGGCCTGCATGAAAACAAGGAGTGGTATGTGCATTTGCTTGTCTTCCATTTCCCTTGCGGGTGGCAGGAGGGCAAAGTTATTGGTCGTCGCTGCTCTTGGTCTACGAGTGGCATGTGCAGACAAGCTACACACACACGCCTTCGGAAATACCTACACGCAACCATATCGCGCTGCACACGTCATGCTCTGGGATGCCCCCTCCTCGGGTCGCGGCGCGCACCTTCCAAAAGGCGCGTGTTGGTACGCTCCGCCCCAGGGACCCAGCGCGTGGGCAAGTACCTGTGCTCTCGCAGTGTCGATCCGTTCCTCCATGTCGACGGTCTCTTCGTCGCGCTCACCTGTTTTCCTTACGCCTACGCGCCCTTGACTTACTTCCACCTCTTCCTTCATGCTCACCAGTTTTCCCTTCGCTCGGTCGTATTTTTTTGTCCGCCAGTTTTCCCACTAATGCACTTCACTGTCATGCTGACGGTTTATTAGTTCCGCCGTAGTCAGCATTCCCAAATAGAAGTACGCAAAGTTCGATATGATTATAAATGACATTTTGAGGCGGGCTGACATCTAATGCTAAGTGTGAGACCCACATGAGCAGCGGAAGTACGGTAACCTCGTTACGAAATGAACCGATACTGCCTGCGTCACGCGTTGCAGTCTCCCACATGCCGCGCTGTCGCGGCCCGCGTGGCATCAAGGGCAAGCCGCCACTGCATAAATCGAGAAAGGTCTTCAGGCTGGCAGTGTCACGCTGCCGTCACTGACGGCAGCCCCGGAGTACCGATCGTGTTCGCTAGGTGTCGTTCGTCAACTCGGCCGCTGTTCGCCACATCCGCTCACTCACTCAGCATCCCAGCCAGAACAAAAGCTCAAGTCAGTCTGGACGTATATTCGCCGAAGAGTTATAACAAAGTGGGCGCCCGCATAAGTGGCCGGCGTCGGCCTTCGGCCGTATGGTTCACCGCGCGCTGCCGTACGGGGAGAGGCCGTGCCAGTCACCGCGGCGCGCCGGTCTGAGCACCGGACACATCCGCACGAACGACGCTGCAAGCCACGCAATGCATGGCTGGCTACGCTGTTCGCTGCCCAATAAAGGCGACCACTCGGGGCGGGCTGAGGACGTTTTGGCACGTGGAGGCAAGACGCTTTGGCACGTGAAGGCAATACGTTTTGGCACGTGAAGGCAATACGTTCTGGCAAGTGGAAGCAAGACGTTTTGACACGGGAAGGCTACCGCCCGTCGGTGTGAAAAAGCCGCCTTCCCGCGTGTCCGCGCCAGCACCAGCCTCGCGCCGACTGAGCACCGGAGTCCCAACAAGTAACACTGGCCGTGATCCGTTACACCAACGCAGTCTGGTATGTCGAGCGCGCCGGTATTTGCCGCGTCAGTGCCGGTGGGGGGGGGGGGGGGGGGGACGCCGGCTTCCCCGGCGTCCGCCGCCCGATCGTTTTGGTCCAGCGGCTGCCAGGATGGCGTGCCACCCTTCACCAGTGTAAAAATATGAAAGGGTAACGACACCCGGCACCGCCAAACCGCAAAAAAGTGAGCCTTCCACCCTGCCGACCGTAGTGTTTCCTGTTGGCAGACAGAAACGCTCCACTGCGACGTGTACGGGCGGCTGCCAACACCATTCAACTCAGGTCCCACGGCCCGGATCCCCGTCAGGACCCAGTCAGGGTCCCGTCAGGTCTCACCGTCCGGGTCCCCGTCAGGTCCCGCGGTCCGGGTCCCCGTCAGGCCCCACACCAGTTGTAGTATAATCGTGCGGGTACCCGTCATGTCGCTCAGTCCGGATCCCCCCTCATACCCCACAGTCCGGGTCCCCTCAGGTCCCGCAGTCCGGGTCCCCGCTAGATCCCAGAGTCCCAGTCCCCGTCAGGTCCCACAGTCCGGGTCCCCGTCAGGCCCCACACCAGTTGTATAATCGTGCGGGTACCCGTCATGTCGCTCAGTGCAGGTCTCCCTCATGCCCCAGTTCGGGTCTCCCTCAGGCCCCACCGTCCAGGTCTCCCTCATGCCAAAGAGTTCGGGTCTCCCTCAGGCCCCACAATCCAGGTCCCCTTAGGTCCCACAGTCCAGCTCCACCCCGGGTCCCACAGCTCGGGTCCACGGGCCGCGCAGCATCAGTCCACCGCGTCCATCGCTGGGAGTCACGAGTCTGCGGACGGATAGACGCTCACGGCTACGAGTCTGCACCGGCCGGCCGGCCCTCGCGGCGGTGCGCGAGTCGGCACGCCCGGCAAGTCATCGCTCTGAGTTGACGATCACTACGGGCGTGCTGTTCAGTCCCGCATGGTCCCAGCACCAACGTCCCGTCAGCTTCCAGGTCGGGCCAGTGGTGCAGAAGACTGCGCCAAACTGCAGACCCTCGCGATCACGAAACTGCAGCCCGCGACAAGACCGCGTTCACCTGATCGCGTTATGTAGCCGGAGTCTACCGGGGTGAGGAGAAAGGTCTCCAACTCTGAAAACGAGTGCCAGTGCGGTCAGTGGACGGCAGCCGCGCGACGTACGTCACGCTCGGCGAGGTTGATCAGGCAGTACGTCATCAAGAGGTTCAGTATTAAGTCCCTGTACCGATCAAATCATCATTGTGAATGGATAGTCGTGGCCAAGAATTGAGCTTCAATGGGACGGCAAGCTTACCATTGCTCAGAAAGCTGACATCGCGCGACACATCACACTACCAGTGTTCCTACCACCTAAGGCCCCTGCCGACACACCAATCATCAGTGAGCATTTGTCTGACAAACAGCGGCACGGCGTCGATGAGACCATGCTCACCTGGTCTTGTTATGAAGCCGGAGTCTGCCAGGTGAGGAGCAAGGCCTCCAGCTCTGAAAGCGAGTGTCAGTGCGGTCAGTGGACGGCAGCCGCGCGACGTACGTCACGCTCGGCGAGGTTGATCAGGCAGTACGTCATCAAGAGGTTCAGTATTAAGTCCCTGTACCGATCAAATCATCATTGTGAGTGGATAGTCGTGGTCAAGGAAATGACCTTCAATGAAACGGCACGCCTACCATTGCTCAGTAGGCTGAAATCGCGCGACATATCACACTACCAGTGGTCCTACCATCTAAGGTCCCTGCCGTAACACCAATCATCAGTGAGCATTTGACTGGCATGCAGTGGCATGACGCCAATGAGGCCGCACTCACCTGGTCGTGTTATGTCGCCGGAGTCTGCCGGGGTGAGGAGCAAGGTCTCCAGCTCTGAAAGCGAGTGTCAGTGCGGTCAGCGGACGGCAGCCGCGCGACGTACGTCACTGCTCGGCGAGGTTGATCAGGCAGTACGTCATCAAGAGGTTCAGTATTAAGTCCCTGTACCGATCAAATCATCATTGAGTGGATAGTCGTGGTCAAGAAATGAGCTTCAATGAGACGGCACGCTTACCGTTGCTCAGTAGGCTGACATCGCGCAACACATCACACTACCAGTGGCCCCTGTTCACGGCACCTAAGGTCCCTGCCATCACACCAATCGGTAGTGAGCATTTGTCTGGCATACAGCGGCATGACGTCGATAAGACCATGCTTACCTGGTCTTGTTATGAAGCCGGAGTCTGCCGGGATGAAGAGGAAGTCTCCAGCTCTGAAAGCGGGTGGCAGTGCGGTCAGTGGACGGCAGCCGCGCGACGTACGTCACGCTCGGCGAGGCTGATCAGGCAGTACGTCATCAAGAGGTTCAGTATTAAGTCCCTGTACCGATCAAATCATCATCGTAAGTAGGCGACCGTGCTCAGAACTGGGCTTCGCGGAGGGAGTGAGGTTGCATGGCAAATCTGCTACTCATACAAAATTAATTTCATGATAAGAGAGGCTTTTTGATTTATCTTTCATTCCCATATCAAATACTCGCCTACTACCAACCTCACCTTGTGTCGGCGCGGATCTCCGTGGTGCACGGGCCCGGGTTCGCGGCCAGGTGTCAGGGCCTGCTCGCTGCTGATGCCACCTCCCGCTCTACTGCAAAATCCTGCCGCAGGGAGAGAAAGATCTCAAAACAATCCGCGACCCGCAGAGGACGCGCACCGCGGGTACCGCGTTCAGGATGTACGTCATCACGAGGGTTCAGTATTAAGTCCCTGTACAGTTTGATCATCATTCAGATGAGCTCAACTACGCGATCATACACGGCTGTCTGATGGCTCCAGTCGCGGCCGGACAGGTTATATGGCCACGACGGCTCGGCGACACCGGTCCCGCCCAGCGACGGCTCACCTCGTACCGCCGGCTGGCGGCAGCGGCCGGGCGCCGGCGCAGCAGCGGCGTCTCCACCGCCTCATCCCGTCAGGCTGCAGCGGTGTCCGGGTCGGAGCTCGGACCGGACAGCTGCCGTGGTCCGGGGCAGAGCTCAGACCCGACAGCTACCCTGCCGTGGTCTGGGGCGGAGCTCGGACCGGACAGCTGCCGCGGTCTGGGGCGGAGCTCGGACCGGACAGCTGCCGTGGTCCGGGGTGGAGTTCGAATCGGCAACCAAGCCTCGTTTACAGAGGGCCTGCAATACGCAGGCTGGAGACCCCACCTATTCAGGTTTCCTACATGCCAAGAGCTCAAACCCACTTGTATCTTACGATCCCAAAACGAATTATAACCTTTGGAATCTAGAATTATGATCTTTCAAAAGCTGAAGGGCCGTGGTATTTTTGAGTCGCAGCGGCCTCGCCTCCGGATGTTTTTTTTTTTTGTTTGTTTGCTACCACCGACGGGCAGTCACCCAAGTCTTCACAGAAACACTAAGATATTGTTGCCACGACCACCTCACATAAAATTTGACCTTGTCCATTGACCTGTGCCTTTGCCACTTGTGACCAAATGCCGCCACCCGGTGCCCAGCGCCAGCCCGCCTCCTGACGGGCGGGTCCGTCCCACGCAGGGAGGTGGACCCGGCCAGCCCCCGGCCGCGCCTCATCCCCGTCTGTCTCGCGGCCGGCCACCGCGGACCGCTGCCCCGGTGCATCGCCACACAAACGCGCCAGTCTCGTTGGATCGGTTTATTGGCCTGAGGGTGAGGCAGCGCCGAGACAGCTGGACACGGAGCGCCTGCACCTGCCGACAGAGGGATGACGCTGTGTCAGCGTCACCACCACACACCATGCAAACACAACTCCCTACAGAGGGAAGATGCTGTCAGTGTCACCACCACACACCCCGTGGACACACTTCCCCGCAGAGGGAGGACACTGTCAGCCACACCACCGCACACCCTCCAGACACGGGGGCGGGGGGGGGGGGGGGGGCACTGTGATCATGTCACAACTGCAGACCAAGCAGACATCCCCCCCCCACACCCCCCCCCCCCCACACACACACACAGCGAAACACGCTGTCAGCACAACTGCATCCCGCAAAAGAAGGTGCCACAAAGCGCCGGGCTCGTGCCACGGTCGGCACACGAGTCAGACCTTCAACACATGGCCGCCAACGTTACTTAGACCGCACGCTAATGCGGGCAGACAAGACTCCAGCAGAAAACCGGATCACTCGTAGAATGCAAAACCTACCGCAAGCTGTTCAAATAAGAGGTCAATAAGAGGACACTTAGCAGTCACATATTGAAACTGCACCCACCTGGACAGCATCCTCCATCGCGCCCCAGGACTGGTGAGCTGAGGACAACAAAACAGGTGTCAACTACATCTGACAAACACAAACGCGTCCACATCCACCAGGAATGTGTTCAGCGTAAAGAATCGTCACAGGCATTCTGTATTAAGTCCCTTGTATGATCATCAGTTGACAGGTTTCAAGCACTTGTGAAACCGTTCGCGGTCTCACCCGCTGAGGCGGACTTCGGCTTGTCGCGGCCAACAGGCACCTGCAATGGAAAAATCGGGCCATGTCAAACTACGGTCGGAAATTGCAATGTCACAGGGAACTGACATGTTACCAACGCAGCTGTGCCAAGCTGTCAAACACTGGGATGTGATCATGCTGAAAGGCTTTAACACATGCCAGGGGTGCAATCATTACAGCAGCAACACATGTAACATATCCCACCAATCCAAGGGACCGCTGAAGCGTGGCCGCCCGGTGACGCGGCAGGAGGCGACGGGCTCGCTACCACACAGCACCAGCGCCAGGTCGCCCCCTGGAGCTTGCTGGGGGCGGGGAGGCGTCTCTCACCGTTGTCGGGCGCCTACGTCCAGCTGTGGTCGGGCGCAGCGGCGGCCCAGTCGCCGGTGGCGGCTCCCGCCGACCAGTCCTCGGTCCAGTCGCTGGCACCGGCCGCCACCGGGGCGCCCGTCGGCACCGTTCCGAAGTCGGCCGGGGCCGGCGCGTCCTCGGTGGGCGCCGGCAGCGCGGCGGCAGCGGCAGCCGCAGCGGCGGCGGCCGCCGGCGGCCGCGGCCTCCTCGGCGGCCGCCTCGCGCTTCAGCTGCTCCTCCTTCTCGATCTCCTCCGGGTCGCGGTAGAAGAAGAGGTCGGGCATCACCTCCCAGTCGCGCTTGCGGCCGATGGTGCCGCGCAGGCGCAGCACCTCGCGCGCCAGCATCCACCACATCAGCCCGATGCTGTGGTAGCCCTTGTTGTTGCACGGGATGGCGATGTCGACGTAGCGCGACGGCGAGTCCGTGTTGGAGAAGGCGATGACCGGGATGTTGACGTACGACGCCTCCGAGATGGGCTGCGCGTCCACGCGCGGGTCCGTCACGATCAGCAGGCGGGGCTCGCGGAAGCCGGCCTGGAACGGGGCGCGTGACCCAGGTCAGGTCGCTGGGTATGCAAGGCATGCAGGCATCACACGCTGCAGCCCAGCTGAGGTGGCAGCATGCACAGAAGGACACAAACCCGGCGCCAGCATGCTGTAATGACCAAGAAGGTCGCGATGGTGTAGCGTGGTGCATAACACTAAAACTATACCTCAAAATGTGATGAAAATTATTTATTAACAGCGCATATAATGTTTTGGACATGTGAATGCTTTCTCTAATGCCATCAGTCACACACCAACTGTAGTCCTCATTTTGGCACAGTCCATCTGATCAGACAGTTGGACTGCTTCCTATGGGACATGTCACTGTTGTCCTTCCATGTACTGCACGTACTTGGCACCCACTGCCACCAGAGAGTGGTGCATGGGCGTGGCGGATGGACACACTGGCTCATCACCTTTCCAGACAGTGACAGGGTGCAGACAAGGGGAGCATTTACATGGACAGAAATGGACTGCACTGCTTTGTATGAGGCCAGAGTAACTGTACTTCAGGCAAAACCGAAACAGACCACATCCAGAGCACTACCAATCCCCCTCCCTCAGCCAGAGCTGCATCAAACAGGCCAACCCCCACTGTGATGGCACTACCTCCCACATAAGGCTGCTTTCCACGGTGCCACATGTGTCTTTCTCAGACACCTCGCCAATATAGCTCTGCACATTAACCTGTACTTCAGAACACGGCATCAAACATACCCAAATGGCAATGCCACAGGGCACACCCTGGGCCACAAATGACCGACCAATGATGACTGATTCACATTTGACCCGAGCGTCCCTTGAGTCGCCCGACACCACTGACCTGGATCTGGTTGGTGAAGCATCCGGGGGTGAAGCGGCCGGCGATGGGCGTGGCGCCGGTGTAGTGCGAGTACTTGAGCACGGCACGCTGGCCCCAGGGCCGCGCGCTGATGGCGTACACGTCGGCCGGGTTCTCCACGGCCACGATGGCGCGCGCCGCCAGCAGCAGCTTCTCATACGTGCGGCGCAGGTTGATGATGTGGATACCTGCCGGTGCGCGCCAGGGAGAGCTCAGCAGATGGTCAGAGGCACGGCACACTGGTTGCTCTGCTCAGCAGCTGTGTCACAGCAGGGAGGTGTAGCCGGCCATCACCAGCAACACCACATTATTTTGCGTTACAGCAAGACCTAACAGAGTGATTGGAGGATGGGTGATCAGGAATGCATTCAAGTTGCTTTTTGGGGGGGAGGTGGGGCATGGTGAAAAGGGTGGCAAAAGGCACCCTATTGGCCTTTTTATAGCAGACAGCATCATGACACAGGACCTAGCCTGTGCCATGGTGTGACCTACATGCAGATGCTGCCATGTTAGTGCTTTGTGTGGTTCTGATCTAGCCTTGAGCCACAACCAAGCAAAGCCCTCCAGAGATATCACAGGGCTGGGTATTGATGGTCAGCAGACTAATAGCATCTATGTGAGATAGCACATATGACACATCCCACTTGCAAGAACCTTCTAATTAGAGCAACCCTATAACTAGACACAAAAGCAATCTAAAACACCTGACAATGTTGTCCTCATTTTCGGCACAGCCCAGTCTATACCGAGGGGACTGCTTCCTATGGGACATTTCATTGTTGTCCATGTGAACTCCATGGCGGGAGTCAGGCACCCTCAGACTCAGAACAAGCCTGAGAGCGTGGCGATGGACACCCCACACAGTACATGCAGAGCTATCAACTGCACAAGAGGCTCCAGCCTGGCCCAGGCAGTGCAGTTTCTGTCCACTGTCCAAAAACACCGCCTCCCAGCGCTGCCAAGTGACTCACCATCCTTTTTGCGCTTGTAGGCATACTGCAGCATCTGGTAGTCAGCATTTTGTGTACCCAGATGGGTTGATGCTGCCAGCATCTTCATAACATCGCCCTCTTTCAGGGCCAACACCTCCAATCCTCCCGACATTGTAAGGCGTCAATTATTTGCTACGATTGACAACCTGAAACCGGAAAATTGTAATCAGCTGCGTTTAATCATGGTAACAAAGCTAGATCCCTAGTCTTGAAGCCAAACCTGAACAAACAATAACAAAAAGTTAGTGCACTCGGCTTCAACTTGCATAGCCAAAGCTGGTGGTCTTACATTTCTGATGCAAGTGTTCTGAAACCAAATATCTAAACTGCCCTGCATTCCTCAACACCTCAATACATTATAGAGGGCAAGACATTTTTGTGTCTATACCTCACAGCAAAAGTTGATGAAGCAGCAGGGCCACCTACATTCAACCATCTAAACAGATTGGCACGCTGTATGTCATCTGTCACACACCAATTGTAGTCCTCATTTTGGCACAGTCCATCTGATCAGTCAGTTGGACTGCTTCCTATGGGACATCATACTGTCGTCCTTCCATGTACTGCACGTACTTGGCACCCGCTGCAACCGGAGGATGGTGCACGGGCGTGGCGGATGGACATACCCCCAGCACCACACTATGTTTATTTAGAATTATGTGCTAACAATGGCATACATGACTGTTGCCATACCAATCTTAAGAAGTCATGAAGCTTTGATGAATGTAGTAGTTTACTCCCATACAATTCATTTAAAAACCTTCATTTGAATTCAAATTAGGAAAATACAGGTGAACCAGAGCAGATAAACAAACCAAGATTAGTGATATAACAAATCCTCAACAGCTTTTTGAATTCCCTCTGACTAGACCTGTAAGTTCTTTTTGACCCAGATATTTGCAACATATTTTGTGTCAAATGTCAGTACCAAATTGTCAAATTCAATGTGTCTAGTGTATGGACTGCGCAAAATTGTACAGCCCCATTCAGCAAGATAAGACTGCCAATGGAAACTCATTTTCAAGACAATAGCAGTTGCTGATTGTCATCTACTTCCCCCCCCCCCCCCCAAAGAAGGCAAAAGCCACAGAAATGATTTCCCACCAAAACTGAAGGTCAGCTGTATAAATAGATTGCACTCTGGCATCTAGACATGTCCAAGTCACAGTGGCATACAATTCATACAAATGACCAGCTTGTGTATATTTAAAGTCATGAACTAGCATTCCTAGATGCTACATTGAGGGCTAAAGATGAAATACCAGTGATTAATATGGGCAATATATCAAGCATCAAGCCTGTCAGTCAACCTAAAAAATCCATCCACTGCATAGAATGCTGGCATGCCACACCTGTGCGTTGGACATGGCATTTCTAATTTGAATGCAGACCACAAATTGCACTGAATTAACTCAATTGAATTATCATAAATTGCAATGATTTATCAGCTATCTGCCTAGCCATGGTTTCTAAGTATTTCTGACAAAACCCTGGCCTGTTTCAATGCCATTTGTAAACACATCTAAGTGCTAAATTTAATGCCTACAGTGCGCCCACCTCCAAATGCCTGGATCTGGCATGCATAAATGCACCAGTGACAACACACTACTATGCCAATATGTGCCAGCCCTGCTTGAGCATCACGAAGTATAGCCCAATACCTAACATAAGGGAACTGTTAAGATGAAAAGTCACACACAAGACCTTAACCATTGCATGAAACAACGAATGCCTTTTAAGGGGAGTCATCACATATCACCACAGCACGACGCAACCTACGCGCGGATTACTCAACGCGGCAGTCCCATTTGCCGAAACGGGGAAGCCGGCAACACAACGAAGCAAAACTGGTAATACAACAACAAACAGATCCTGGTACATAGCCTGGAATTAAACGTTACGTAAATCTGCATCACATGGTGCCTAAAGATATCGCAAAACCTCCCACTGGAAGTCCTAAAATCAAAATCATTAACGCACCTCGCAAACGCCACTGGGAGCCACACGACAGCGGGTCAAAGAGGAAGTCCGGCGCTGTCATTTTCTGAAACAAAATTTTGGGGACCAATATCATTTCGCAAATTCAACCAAATGTTTGGAATCCACTCGCGGTTCTTACCAGAGATGCTTCGCTTAATGATTCTGATATATTTAATTGAATGCAGTATTTAGGCACATAAGCGGGGATCCTCACGTTTCTTGGTGTGCAAGATAAAACAAACTGAACACATCTTGTGAGGTACTGCCGAAGTTAGTACGCGTCGTTTGAGTTAGGATTTGAGGTTCGAGGGGGACGGGACGATCTCCAGCCATTTCCTTCCAGCCAACGTAAAAATGGTTAATCATGACCTTCAGAAAGTTAGGAAGCTTAGTCAACCGCTTGTTCCCCTCGCCCCTATTACTGCGCCCTCGGAACGCAACAATCGTTGGTGTTCGTTTATTTCTTCTTTTCTCCTAATTCACTATCAAAGCGGCCATGGCTGTTTTGATAGTAAGTGGGGCTCTGATTGTTGCAATGTACAATCTTCTGAGAGTAGTTAATCATCCCGACACTGTCATCAAGCAATATATAATTGCAGACATCGGTCAAACAATGATGAAAAAGTGACAAAGGGCGTAGTAATCCGCCAGACACTAGTTGGAGTGGGATGTGGAGTTGGAGCAGGGTGTCTGGAGCGGGGGTGAGGTATATGCAGAGAACTGTGGTCAGACTTCAGCTGAAGATATGCCCAAAATATGTGTTCCTCCTCGCATCTGGCCCAGTTGTTTCGCGAAGTCAGGGGACTGCCCCAACTGGAACCTAACCTGGAGCCTATGTGCCCTCTTGCATATGTCAGAAGTATAAGCGGTGTGATACAATTCCATCCCTTTTATGATGATTTGAGCGCTATGGGTAAGTTCATGCGTTACGGATGGGTGAATGTACAATGATGAAATATACAAATATACGATGTTTAACACCCACATTTAGGGCCTGCTGTCCCATTTCGACGCACCGTACCGCCACCTTCAGTAAAATGAATGAGCAGCTTAATTTTTAAGAAACTGAATGACATTTTTTCTCTCTGCGCATCAACAATTAGCGCATGTGGGGTATAGAAGGGACTTTCTAAACATGTTTATACACGCTTGCGCTGTTCGGTCCTTCTGGTGCGCCAAGTTCCAACATTGCTCATCTTGCATTTTCTTCCTCCATTCCACCAATCACGGTGCTGTGAATGGCTGCCGGAGCAGCGAGCAAGATGGTGGAGCCCAATGATCATAATTGCACATGAATACGTTTACAAACATAAAACGCCGCGCCCGCGTCGTAGATTTTGGAGGGAAATTGGGTGGTCGTATGTGGTGCAGGTATTGATTGTGTAGGAAGATGAGATGGAAGTGAGGAAGTTATTTAAAGGTAAATGTATAAGACTGCGATCCAAAACGTCTCGTCTCTCAAAGCTGTACAGGTGACACGTAGCACAAAACCGCCGAAATGTGACGTTGCGTGTAGCGGGCTTAGCTTGCCCTGAAGTTGCGCGTGTTAAAGTAGGTTTTTGCCGCAGGGGTCGCAAGAAATGCGTGATGCGCCAAACATGGCCTACTAGCGAAATCGCGGCAACAATTGCAGCACACGTATGTCGTGAATCTGAGTGCTCAGATTTTGCTGCAGTCAGCACCAAATTGAGCGCATAGAGGGTCAACATGATGAGGAATTGTGGTGTTTCAAAGGTGCTTCAGACAATTCCCAGATGTTTTTTGTGAGCAAGTGGAACTCCAGTTTGATTTGTTGTGCACAAGTGGAAAAAATGTAGAAATGTGGCCCAATGGGGTGAAAGCTTGACATTTTTGAAGTTGAAGGTAATTTTGACATAACCATTCTGATATGATGTTGATGTCTTAGTTTTCCATGTTCTGTCAGCCCAGTTCAGTCAACAATTTGCCTGGGTAAGAGCTTCCATGGATGAGTGCTTGTTATGTGGATCCAACTCACAGTCTCATAAGTCCTTTTATGATCATTTTAATAAAAAGTAAAGAAAAATCAAGCAGCAAAACTGATGGGGCATCCTTGCGATGAGCATTTTGCTTACCTGCGTCAAACTCGGTCAGGCAGAATTGTGCTGAAATTTGTCATTGCTTTTCTATAAAGGGTTAAAGTACGCTAATAGGAGCCAAACAATGTCACATGATAATATCACAGAATATTGGCTCTAAGCACTGAAACTGATTGTTGCTGTGCATAAAATTCTGGAAGCTCTGACTCACAGTGCACATGTGCTAAAATTGTTCCTGTGGTGGATCACAAAATTTGTGTTCTCTGGTAGACTTCTGTGGCCAAAGGTATCATACAACCCTGCTGAGGACAGCCTACACACCCTTCTGACCTCATCTGACCTTGAGGCTCCTATGCCACCCAGTCCAGGCTGTCCTAGGGTGGGGGAAATGGCCTTAGGAGGTCTGGCCCCATGGTGAAGAGTGGCATTGAATATGGTTGTGATGGTTCCAAGGCAGAAGCCAAGACTTGTGGAGGTTTAGGTATTTGTGTACCAGTGTGTGGGAGGAACCTTGGTTTCCTGGTAGAGATCTTGAAGATGAATGTATTAGAGATGCTGAAGCACAGATTAATGCCTAATGAAGGGATGTATGTATTTTTTACATTCTCCTGGACCTTTTTTAGTTGTTATTGATAGCACTTGTAAGTCAGGGTTATTTAGCAAAATTGCCATGTCAGCTCCCTCTTAGGGGCAGTTTTTTGTTTGTTTGTGTTTTTTCACAGCCATCTCAGTTTGATAGATGCATGCAGTCATGATGAGACAAAGGCAAGTTTATCAGGGCACCATATTCTCAATCTTGAATGCCAGTTGTTACCTTCAGAAGTCAACAGGGGTGCCTTCATTGCTTGTGCACTTCACCTTTCTAAACCATGACATAAGGGCATTTACTGAACAGATGCCACAGAAATGTGCAATGTGTGCTATCCATTCACAGTGCCAGGGAGTGTGTGTTGCCACATGTTTTCTAACATTTTGTTTCATTAAGTTTTATGAACAGTCTTCCCTTAAAGACATGCAATACTATAGGCATAGCATTTGGCTTCCTCACTTTCCAAGGATGCTTATATAGCCAAAAGGCAAAATCAATGATATGCTTGTGAGTACCCCTTTTGCCAGTTAAACACCCTAGTTTCAGAATCTGGCACAAGAACAATGACTCCAGAATCTAGCCCATCTGTATGCACCATGAAGAAAACATTCAGAAAACAGTTATACACAATATGCAGTTTTGTCCTAATTTTGAAGTTATATGCTGGCTGTTGACTTTGCATTTCTTCAGTTTGAAGCTGCTGGCTTCAGCATTGGTCTGGTGTGCACCACAACTGTGGTATTTTGTTTCATGTTGTAATAATCCAAAGCCACTGGCCTTTGCATTGGTTTTATATTTCAAAGCTTTATGTCACCAGCTTTGACTTCAAAGCCAGAAGCCTGGCTTCATCCCCATACCTGGCATATGCAAGCACTTTGTAGGAAGAAGGCTAGCTTTTTAGTATTTAGGGATGCATGTTGAAATGTCAAATTTGAGGGTTTGGGAATTGAACCATTTGCATGAACTGTTTGTGTCATACTCACAGACTATATAGGGTGTTCTGGGTGAGATTTGGCATTCCAGAAAGCCTTCTGTAACTCATTGTCACACTTCATCTTCATATTCTTTGGTCTAACCCCAGTCATGTCTATTACATATGCATATACATGGGAAGAAATGCCATGGCCTGGTAGCTTGAAAAGCATTCAGATGATGCTTTCCTCACACCAAGCACTCTTTTTCTTCATAAAAACATTTGGTGCTTTTTCATGATGACCATCTTGATGGCACCAAGTGCACCTCAAGGTGGCAAAGAGCATGAAGCCCACACTCTGGCAATGGCAAGGTGATAAGGATAGGATACATGAGGATACACACAAGGATAAATGATGATAGCTGGGCTCTAACTAGTCTCTCCTCCTCAGTGTCCTGTGTGGAGCCCACACAGCTGTGAGTCTCGGAGCGTCGACGTACGCCGTCGGCCGACCGACCGTCAGCCATGAGCAGCGCCGACAGCGCGGGTGAGGCGTCGGCGGCGCGGCCGTCGGACGCCGAGCGGGACGCGGCGGCGCTGGCCGAGGTGCTGGCGGGCGCGCTCAGCGTCAAGAGCGTGGCCGAGAAGTACCACATCCCGCGTGGCACGCTCTGGAGCCGCGTTATGCGCTACCGCCTGCAGCAGCAGCAGCAGCAGGCGCCGCCGCGCCGCCGCGACTCGGCCGCGGACGCGGACGCGGCGCCGGCGCCGCGCGCCACCCGCCGCGCCCTCTCGTGCTCGCCGGCGCACGCGCCGCCGCTCCCAGACGCGTTGCGCCCGGCGGAGGCGCCGTCGCCGCCGCCGCCGAGCGAGCCGGCTCCGAAGGTTCGCCACCGGCCGGCGCTCAGCAGCCGCTGGCCGGATGTCGCTGTCCGGATTTCGCGCAACCTGCGGCTGCCGCTGTCGGCCGTCGAGCGCGTGGACCGCGCCATCGTGTCGGTGCTTGCCCAACGGGCGTCGCTGGCCGAGGCGGCCGCCGTCGCCGGCTTCTCCGCCCGCTGGATGAAGGCGCAGGTGCGGCGGTACCGGCGCAGCCCCAGCAGTTTCGTGTGGCGCGCGCGGGTGTCGGGTGCGGCCGACTGCTACGTGGACGGCGACGCGGGCCCGGCCGCCGACGCGCCGTCGGACGCCAGCGGGGACGAGGCCGCCGGCGACGGCGACGAGGGGAGCGTGGAGGGCGCGAGGACCGAGGTGAAGTGCGGCGAGGAAGGTGGCGCCGGAGCGGCACCGAGCGGCGGCAGCGCGCCGAGCGAGGGATCGAGCCGCGCGCGCGACTCCAGCTTAGACGCCGCCGACTCGGAGTCGAGCAAA